ACACACACACACACACACACACACACTCTCATATGTGTGTGTGTGTGTGTGTGTGTGTGTGTGTGCGTGCGTGCGTGCGTGCGTGCATGCATGCATATATTATTGTTGTTGTAGTGGTTGGTCTGGTTCAACCGACTAGCAATTTTCAAGTTCCATTGCTAGAAAATGTTTAGTTTAAATTTACCACTTTTCCAACTGCCATTGTTTGTAATCAGTGTTGCATCTAAGACATGAACTGGGCATCACAGCTCAGGAGAGCAATCACTGACAATACAATGCGGAGGTGGAGACCTCCCAAGAAAAATGTTGTAAAAACGTATAATCAGAAATTGTGGACAAGAGTTGGGATGGAATGAATAGGCTCTACATGTATAAACAATGTAAAACATATATACATAACACCAAACGTTTAAAAAATGAAATAAACAAAAGAAATCTCCGATTTCAATAATAGATAGTTTTGGCTTATGTTGGTAGTAAACAGTAGGCAAAATTCATTTCATATTAAACATATGCTGAGAAATATGTCATGCAGTCCAATAAACATTTTTATTATTACTGTAAGCAATTACTACTTGTTAATTAATTAACAATCACAGCTAACTTCAGTTTTTGCTGATGGTAAAGTAGTAAGAAGGAACCCACTTGGAGAGAGACTGGATTCTAATAGTACTGTATCTAAATGAACATCTGAAATGTTAATTCTTTAGCATAAAAGACCCCATTTTTAAAGTACCATGGCAGCCCTTATTAACACAAGCCTGCACACCATTTGGTAATTGATTTTATACATGGACAAAAAGCATGCAAAATGGGAGATCATGAACAAATAGATATGGAAATACAAAAGCAATAATTAAAAGAGCTTTAAGATCTTTTAAGTACAATGTCTAATTTTATGACATTAGAAAATAATTCTGTCCTTACTATACATTAACCTAAGGCTTTGGGGTATGCCTTCAAGTCAGTGATGACTCCAGGTGACTTCAGAGACTGTTGCCTTGTATAAAGTAAAAAAAGGATGACCTTGACAGGTAAAGGAAGTGCAGACCTGCAGGATTTTGAACCTATAGCCAACCTTAATAAAAGTATTTTTAGCCCTGTGTGGGTTTTCTTTTTTGGTCTGCCCTATGTCATATGGCTGACATTGCAGTAGTCCTTGCAATATTTTCAGAAGTAGTTTGCTAGTGCCTTCGTCCTAGGGCTGAGAGAGACTGACTGGCCCAAAATCTTCCAGCTAGCTTCATGCCTAAGGCAGGACTAGAACTCACAGTCTCTTAGTTTCTAGTATAGTACCTTTAATCGCTACACCGGACTGGCTCACAGCCCTCTTAATTGCTCATAAAACTCCTACAGAACTAGGACTGCAGTTCATGACATGTTTCTTTGGTGGGATAGGTTACCTGGTTTGCCAACATCTATATTTTAGGATGTGTTTAATTTTCTATATTGATTCCTAATTCTTCTTTTTGGGGTGGGCGGGTCATAGGAAGTGATTTCCTACTATTCCCAATACAATTTAGATGAATGGATGAGAAGTCATATGGCACTGGACTGGCTCATGAAAGAGCAAGAAATTCCGGGCATTATATCACAAGAGCTACAAGTGGCACTTAGAGAGCTCGAAGAAGCAAGGAAAGCTGGGCAAGAGTTGCGGTTTTACAAAGAAAAAAAAGAAATCCTTGGGCTGGCACTGAGTCAGCTGTACAGCGATTCTGCAACTACCTCTTCAAATGATGATCGCATGAGCCTAGCTCTCAGTGGCTATCGTTAGCCTACATTTGAGAGATGGGTTTATTATATGGCTGCATCTTGGTTAATCAGATCAATAAGAAGTAACTGTTTACTTTACTTAGCATACCGTGTAATGTACTAAGCTGAAAGTCTCTGATTTCTTCCTTGATGAGAAGAAAGTATCCCAAGTATAAAAGGACTCCTTGTATAGCAAACTATAGCAAATCCTAAACCAGGAAGTAAGGAAAGGACGTAGGATTCAGTTTATCCTTCTTTCATCAGATGAGCAATGCCTAAAACTGAGATAATACTATTTGAGAATAGACCCAGGGACTTTTTATAGTAGCTGTTTAAGTTAAATAATAACATTTAGGCTTCTAAATTCTTTAAGAAGCATAGTTAGTTAAGTATTGTTGCTCAGCGCTTTCAGTGTACTAATTGAGTTTATTCATTTGAGAAAGAAATAATATCCTTGCAATATGCAAAAAACCAAAACTGTGTTAAATTTACTAGTCTTTTTAAATAGAGAACAATGAAGTTTTCATATTAAAAATAGTGACGTGTTCTCAAAAACCAATGAGATAATTTTAAAATATACTTAGTTGTAGCAAATCTATATCAATTTCTTTTGACCTAAGAAAGGGGGGTGGGATTCGGGTAGTTGAAAGAAGCCAATTATGGTCTAATTTGCTAAATAAGTTAGGGAAATAACACATCAAGCTTGTTGCCTTTGAGTAAGGAATCAAATGACTGCATTGTTCGCTAGACTATTTTATTTTCCTCTACAAATCAGAGAAAGAAGTGATATCTTTGAACCGCAATTGAAATAACTGCACATCTTGTTCAAAGTCCCCATCCAGAAATGGGTTCTGTAAATACTTAGCACAGTAAGACTGGCTGCTATATCAACACGATGTCAAATCAATGCTGGAAAGGTCAGAATAATACTGAAGTGTATAGCTACCAGATCTGGACTGCAGAAATTCAAATTTGGATTCTTTAAAGCAGATGCATCCATTTTCAGGATTGCACAGAAACCTCAAAAAAGATGGATTGCTCTGCGAGAATAGCAGAGAGGTGCTGTTCTCATGGAAAATCCGAAACACTTTGGAGTCACTTCTCAGGTAATCTCAGCTTTACTGACTATCACCGCCACCACCACAACAAAAAAATCACATGTATTTTGGCATTGAAAACAATAATTTAGAATCATTCAGCATATTTCCTGCAACAGTGTTTTGCATCAGGCTTCACATGAAACAAGGATAATTTAACAACTGAATTGTAATCTCCTTTTAAGATTGCTTAACTTAAGACCTTCAAGCAAAATTATTCAGTGCTATAGCATTTCATGCATAATGGATTTTTTGATTTAGCAGGAATCTTGGCTGGTTAGTCTTCACTGTTTCTGTATCACAATACATTGTTTATGAAGCACAATCCAGACGATCTACTGTGATTGTCAGATGCACTATGGTTATCTATAACACAAAAGAATCATGTATATTACTATATTATTGTGAATAACCTTATATTCACAACATTGCCACAAAATGGTAGTAGGATACCAAGTAAATAGGGTGGGTTTTTTTAATGTTCATCTGTAGTTGTCATCCTTGTGCTACAGCAAATTATTTTAGCATTAAAGTAAGATCCATTGTCTATACAGAATTACAAGAATGGGCAAATGAAGGAACCATCACATTAAAAATGGCTGTTGTGTATTTCATTAATGCATTCTGTTTGATCATCCTCATCTGTAGAATTTGGACAGTAATTCTGTAAAATAAAGTGTTTGAACTCTTCTCAGAAAATAAAGCAAATGAATGTTTTGCATACATGTAAACCACAGAAAAAAGAGACATACTGTGATTGTTTATTTCTCTGGGGCATAAAAACTTATTTTAAGGCTTCTTTCATCTGATTTTATTTTAGACATAAAATATGAGTTTTCTGAAATCTCTAAGCAGTCAGGCCCATTGATTTGCATCCAATGTTGCCAGTTGCTTTCAAACTAAATTTTCTCCTCTTGACATTTCTTATCTTACCAAATCTAAACCTATGTTTATCTTAGAAACATGGGGTGGAATGTTGCAGAAACAAAAACTGGGTGCATGTTTGTGGATATGGGGAGTGGAATAGAAAAAAATGTCACAGTTAATGTCAGCTCCTCTGATTCACCAGCTGCCCTCCTACTGTATTCTTGAAACGGGGAGGAAATTGAAAATAATATATATATGTGTCATGGCTCTTCATCTGTAAATTTCATTTTCATATGGTGGTTTTCTCCTAGCAGTAGAAGTCCTTGCTGATTGTAATAAAGTTCTACTTGAGTTCACCAGTTGTTTGTAAAAAGCCAAGGCTCCTTTGCTGCTATGCCATTGAAGAGGGGCTTGAGGAGACTCTGTCTGGCCACATGGGCTACTTCATCCCAAGCATTGCTGTTTTCACCCACATTGAAGGTTGGGTTAACAGGATCCAGCACAAATGGCCTAAGAGAGAGAAAATATCCCATATTGGCAGGTGATATTTACTTATCGGGCATTCAAATATGCCATGCGACAAGACACTTGTTGAGTCCATCTACTCCTAATGTTTACACATATGCATACATCCCCTCTCATCCAGTCTAGACTCCCAACTCTCCCTGCTCATCCCTTTCACAAATCTTCACTCTCGTGTGCCATTGCTTTGGTACAGTATTGCCTTCTGCAGCAATAACCTAATCCTATTAAAATGTGTCTGGAGCAAAACCCAGAAATATAGAGCAAGCAGACATTCTCCATAAGTGAAACAGCAGCCATACACTAATGAGAACATAGAACAGGGGTATCAAACCCACGGCCTGAGGGCCAAATCTGGCCCGCTGAGTGCTTANCCCAAGCCATGAAGGGCTTTTAAGGTGACAACCAGCATCTTGAATTGCACTCAGAAGCAAAGTGGCAACCAATGCAGCTTCTGCAGGAGAGGTGATACATGTGCACACTAGTGTCCGCACAAAACCACACGGGCTGCTGCATTTTGCACCAACTGGAGCTTCTGGATGCTCTTCAAGTGGAGCTCCATGTAGAGCGCGTTGGTCTATATGGGGCTCCAACACATCAAGACGGGAAATGACTATGGCATGAGTGACTGTGAGTAGGGACTGTTGGTCCAGGAAGGGGGCAGAAATAAATATTTTTTTAAAAAAACAGAGCTGCAGTTTAGACTTTAAAAGTGATGAGAAGATGGTGATGATATGGTGATGTCAATGGGATGTAGAGTTAAACATTTTTGTTTGATTGCAAGTGGGAAAATAGGTGTTCAGATCTAAGACACTCATACTATATTTCACCAATGTTACACCATCAATTACATTTTGCTTGTGATGTGGCAAAAACAAAGTGAACTATATGGGAGTCTAGTGCTCTCGAAGTGATTTAAAAAAGAGGCAAAAACTTCATGTGGGCTCTGATTTAGCCTTCTGACATATCCCAACAACAATAGCAACAGCACTTAGACTCATAGGCCATCCCATAGTGCTTATTGCACTCTCTGGGCATTTTACAATATCAACATATACCCCACCCCAACAATCTGACTCCTAATTTTACAGATTCTCAGAAGAATGGAAGGCTGAGTCAACTTTGAACCCATCAGGCTCAAACTCCAGGCTGTGCACAGAGTTAGCCTGTAATACTGCATTCTAACCACTGTGCTAATCAGGGCTCCTACCACCATTACCCATTTTGAAATAAAGCTGTAAAGATAAAAACTAAAATAGGCACCAAAACCTAAATAAAAGTTTTGATTAGATTTGATTCTGAAAAGCTGAATTTTAAAAAAGATTAGGAGATATGTTGGATATAATTTCCACGTTTTACTGGAGCTAATAGCCACTCACTCATGCTGTGTAGAGCACTCATCAAAAATAGGACTCAGGAAGTTGACCAGATCTGTTCTGAGTAACATCAGTGCCTTGATTATCCAGTTTCAATACAGAAAATGTATTTTCTTCTCAATAAAAAGTAGAACATTGTATATAATCCAAGCAAAACCCTGAATTAGAAATATTGTTTTAGCAATCACTAGGTCATTGAAGCAATGAAAGAAAAAATATGTACACTCAATAGTCACTCATGCATACTTAGTGTATCAATTAATGTTAATGTTATTAAGACAAATGCTTAAAAATGTCTAGTTATACCCTGCCATTCCCTCAGAGAATATATACTTTTTTGAAATGAGTTATAAAATATAAGAAAAGTCAGTAATGGCCCAAAGGCTAAAACAGAAGTATGAATTATCTGAGCCCTTTTATTCGTTTTGCTATATTTCTATCCTTTTTTCTTTATTATTTAACTGCCTCTGGCAAGAAAATAAGTTGGCAGGAGTTTTCGTGAAACAGAAACAGAATCAGATGTTAACTTCTGCATTTGGGGTTACCTCCATATTTTTCATGTGTTGGTTTACAGTTATCGTATGTTGTCATCAGCTACTGTGTCCCATCATGGAAGTTTCTGCATTTACTAATAGATAATTTTTAAAATAATCATTATGTTCTTCTTGAACAGGCACTGTATATGTTTCCTAGTTATAAAGATATAAAAAAAACATCAAGTAATTGCAAGTTTATAATATGGGGATTTAAAATATATATATTCTTTATATTATGGATTTATTAAACATTAAATCCATTCCTTCCCTTGAAATAAGACAGTTCTAAAATTCAGTTAGATACCCTTATAAGTTTTCAATGCTAGCCAAAGATTCCAGTTTTTTAATGCTGCACAAGTAAACATTAGAAAAGAAATATATAATTTGGTTCTGGTGTTCCAAATATTTCCAATGGACAATTAACTATGTATATATAAGAGCCTATACATATAACAAGAGTAGGTGATATGAGGCTTTAGAATGCCTTGTCATACTTCAGAAATTAATGTGGAAGGAGTGAATGAGTGCCATATTTAGTGCAATTCAAACACAACACAAGAAAAAGTTGCTCATTTTAGTTATAAAGCCAATAGACACACTTGGTTCCTGCCAACCTCTGTGATTCAAAAATAAAATAACAGAAGGAGAGACAATGAACTCATCTCCTCTCCATCCCCATCATCATGATAGAAGTATATCTAATGAATTTGGGATTGATGGGTAAAGATAATCTTACTGGAGCCATATTATAGCTTACGGCTATTGGTAGTAGGAGCAGAAATTTATTTCAGTTAGAGCATGTGGATAATCTAATCAATAATGCAACAAAAGTTACAGAAATAAATAAATATGCTGACTTCTGCTGAATATATTACTTTAGTCTCCAAAAAACATAATGAAATATTTCCCTCTCTATGGAGAAACTCTGATAGGAAAAGAACAGGTGGACTGGAATTACTTAGAAAGGGGTGACCTTTGGTAAAATATGTATATAGCACTCTCCCACCTCTACTATGATTCTAGGTAGATGGAGAAAGTGTTTAACATTAAGGTGAATGTATAAAGTAGAGGAGGTTTGCAAATGAAATATATCTTTTCAAACCTCTTTGCAAGTCCTGAAAAGGGCTTTTAAGTGTCCGGTTCTATTTTTGAGAACAATGCTATGCATTTGGGGAAACTAAGCCATTATTAATTTACATGTGACTTTCTAAAAAAAATTCATTTTGTGCAATATGTATTTTTTTTTTCATTGGAAATTTTCTAAGATAAAAGCTTAAAATCCCAGAGTTCTAAGCCATTGTCCTCAGGGATATTTAAAAGCCAGCATAAATATTGTAGCAGCAGCATGCTCACATTCTTGCATTTCCAAAGCTATAAATCTGCTAACGGTTCCAGTGCAGAAACCATTTTGTGGAACAATGCGCTGTTCAGCTTTCTACAGCTTCTCCAGAAAGATTGTTAGAAAGAAAAAGGAAATAAAAAATCAGCAACTATTTCATCTTAGATGGTTGCCGCAGAATGGAAAACAATAGCACTTGGTTTAAAGCTTTGATTCAGGCAATTTGACAAACTCCACAAGTCCGCTTACAACAATAGTTTTGAGTTAAATTTTAAAGCCCTCATAAAAAGGGAAGAAGAAGAAGAAAGGCAGAGAGTGGAAAGGAAGGTTCCAAGAGGTATTATCCCTCCCACAACCATGTAGCTTTCTCACACCAGGTTTTTGTGTACAAAGGAGGGAAAGGGAGAAATGCATAGAAATGCAGTTCCATTTCTCATCTAGAGCCTCTTCTGGGGCAAAGATCATTATATTGGCTGTGAACACACATTCACACACAGCATTTTTTACATGTGAAAAGGGCTGTGCTTTCAATGTGTGACTCCGGCCTCCATCTTAACTTTTTTGTCTCCTCCTGCAAACACCTCTGATCTATTATATTATTATTCTCTCAGTTACTATAATAATTGGAGTCACTAAGTTGCATGGACTAAATAAGTAAGTAATATGGTAGCTAGGTAAGTTGGCCTTGAAGAGACCAGGTAGATTCTCTCATTTACGGAAAATATTTGCTTAAAAATCTGCTGCTGTCCAGGAGAAATTGAAAAACAGATCTGCCACAACTAGCTTATATCAGACCACAACTGCTAACAGGACAGTTCTTGTGATATCTCTTTTTTAAATACGAAGGGAGATATGCATAAATGCTAAGAAAGTAAAGTAGGCTTTGATTTACAACCACAATTGAGTCCAAAATTTCTATTGTAAGTAAGACAATTTTTTGGTGAATTGTGCCCCACATGGTTATCACCTTTACTCCACTGTGGTTAACGAAATCACTGCAGTTGTTAAGCAAATCTGGCTTGTTGGAAACTATCTGGGAAGATTATAAATGGCGATCACATGACCCTGGGACAGTGCAACTGTCATAAATACATGCCAGTTACCAAGTGCTTAAATTTTGATCATGTGATCATGAAGATGCTACTACGATCAGAGATGTGAAAACCAGTCATAAGTCACTTTTTGCCATTGTAACTTTGAACAGTCACTAAATGAATGTAAATCAAGGACTACCTGCACACTTAATTAAGGCTTAAACTAGTTTTTATATCATGTGTATACTTTACATTAAAAAGTATCTCATTGCTTTTGTTGGAAAAGATTCATGCC